ATCCCCTCGGAGTTTAATGAAAGCGATGAAGGCAGCAGGGTTTTTTCTGAGAGCGACAGTAATATTCTCACATCTCTCCTTGATGAGAAGTTCCAGGCCGGTTTGAATCTGCTCACCCGTCCTCCAAGAGCCGTCCCTGTGAAAGACAATACGCGGGATCCTCTCCGTAGCCGTTTTTGCTCAAACCATTCTCGCTTGGCTGGGGTTCCCGAGGCTCCCGACTCGCCAGAGCCGGCGGGCCATGGCCCCCGAGAGGGCTCGGGTGCTGGCCGGGCCGGCGCCGCGGGCGCGGACGCCCCCTCTGCGGGCGGGCGCTCGGCGGCCGGCCGCGCGGACTCGTGCGCTGGCGGCCGTGGCAGCGCCGGCGGGCTCGCGCTCGGACCCGAGCGGCGCGAGGGCGATCGCCAGTCCCGGGGCGCTGGGCCGGGCGCGGATACTGGCGCCGGCCCCCCTCTTGCCTTCAAAGAAGAGGGCCAGCCAGGCCGGGCGGCATCTCTCGGCCCTCGACGAGAGGGACGCGAACGGGCTGGACCTCGCTGGAGACGCCGGGGAGGACGCCGAGGGCGACAGCAGCTCCAGCGGCTCCGACTCGGTGGTGGAGCAGCTGGGGCGGACTCGGGCCCGAATGCGGCAGCTGCGCGCGCGGAGGGCGCACCGGCGGGCGAAGCTGTACGCCGATGCTATCCTGGCGGCGCAGGGCGAGGGCGTGAGCCTCCTGGAGACCCTGGCGGTGACCCAGGCGACGCAGGTGAGGTACCAGCGATATCTCGATCGTTTCTACTCGCGTGCCGGCCTGAGCCGGAGGCAGATCCTGGCGAAGCCGGACACGGAGATCGACGAGCTCATGTGCAACTACATGACCGAGAACTACTTGCAGGGCGAGCAGAGCAACTACGGAGACCAGACGGTCGCAGCCTGGGTCAGCGCGAACCCGGACTTCGGGCGCGTGGGAGGTCGCAAGCTGCCGCGGACGTGGCGGGCGCTGAAGGCCTGGCGCAGGCTGACCCCAGGCAGGCGGCGGAAGGCCCTTGCCCTTCCGGTCTGGTGCGGGCTGGCTTGGAGGCTGGCGCAGCGGGGACACCTACGCCTGGGCATCTTCTTGATGATAGGCGTATCGATCTATGGTCGGCCCTCGACCTTGCTGGCCGCCCGGCGGTGCGACCTTGTGCCACCGTCGCCTGGTGTCAGCAGGCACTGGGCCCTGTTGACCCACCCGCTGGAGCGGAAGAGGCCCAGCAAACGTGGGCACTTCGACGAGGGCTGCCCCCTGGACTCGCCGTACCTCCAGGGCTTGGACGAGGTGTTCGAGCGGCTGGCCTCGACGACGTCGAAGGAACCGCTGTGGAACTTCAGCTACCCCGAGGCAGCGACGTTGCTCAAGGAGGCGGCGGAGGACCTCGGGGTGGCCCCGGTGACATTGTACCAGATGAGACATTCGGGCGCCAGCATCGACTTGGCGAAAGGCTGGCGCAGTCTGACCTCGGCGCAGCGACGCGGGGAGTGGACGCAGGCGAAGTCAATGCACCGCTACGAGCACAGCAGCAGGCTCGGCAGCGACTATACGAAGCTCGACCCCCGGCTGCGCGCGACGTGCGAGGAGGCGGAGAGGCAGCTGGCGCTCATCCTGACGGACCGGCCCCACAACGTGCAGATGTGGCGCATGTGAGCCAGCTGCACCTTGGATACCGTGGAGGCCGATCTCGTGGCCGCCTTCGCCGCTCGCGCCTCGGCAAGGGCCAGTACCTCGGCGATCTCTTCGCGGGCTGCCGGGCGGTGTCTCGGGCGGCCGAGGCCGAGGGCTTCCGGGCGAGAAGTTGGGACGTCATCTATGATGCAAAATGGCAAGACTTGTTGTCGCCTGCCGTGCTGCGGGCGATCAAAGCTGACGCTCGAGCTGGCCGACTGGTGGCCGCAACAATGGCCCCTCCGTGCCAGACTTTTTCCCTCGCGCACGACAGGTCGAGACCTGTGCGCAGCCGCGAGAAGCCATGGGGCTTCCCCGCCTCCGAGCTGACGCCTGCCGATGCCGAAGCAGTGGAATTAGGCAACCGCCTCGCTCGGGTTGCTCTTTCTCTCTTCAGATTCTTTTTGAAACTGGGGGTTCCCGTAATCCTCGAACATCCCTTGACGAGCCGGCTGTGGCATACTGCTGAGGTGTGCGACTTATCGCACCATAAACATGTCTCTCTTGTTGAACTGGACCAGTGTCAGTATGGAGCAAGATGGAAAAAGCCCACACGGCTCCTCTGTGCACACGTGAATCAGGAAGATATAATTAAGCTCACCCGTCGATGCCGACCAAGGGGCTGTATATGTTCTAGGACTGGGAAACCCCATTGGCAACTCAGCGGCGGGGGACCAGGTGGCCTCCGCCGCACCCGCATTGCTTCTGAATACCCTCCTGGTCTGGCACGGGCAATGGTCTCGACCCTCTTAGCTAGTACTGTTGAAAAGCGAGCTTGTCACTCCCACCCTTTCTCTCCCCACCCTAGCGAACATCCAACCTGGATAGCTTCGGGATGATTTGGGAGAAGGAGTTTTAAGGCATGCCTTTAAGCTCAAAGCCTCTGGCCATGACGAGTCCAGAGTTTCGCTAGATTCAGTCTCCGCAAGAAAAATGGGACCGTTGCTCTGGAGGTTTTAGAACGGGTTGAGCAGAGGGGCCATACGTGTGATGTTGGGCAAAAGGGAATATTCTGCCCGTTGTCTGATGTGCACTCGCCAACACCCTGCTGCCCTTTTCCGCTCAAGTTGTTTCTGGTCTCCCGCCCCCCCAACCCTCGGGGAGAAGGAGTTTTAAGGCATGCCTTTAAGCTCAAAGCCTCTGGCCATGACGAGTCCAGAGTTTCGCTAGATTCAGTCTCCGCAAGAAAAATGGGACCGTTGCTCTGAATTTTGCCTCCGGGGGCCCTCTTGGGAGTGCTCTGGGAGGCCTCTTGGGGCGTCTGGGGGCTATCTTGGGCGTCTTGGAGCGATCTTGTGGCATGTCGGACCCCTCGTGTACCATCTTGGGGGCCTCTTGGGGGCCTCTTGGCCTTTCTTGGGGCTCTCGGGGACCTCTCGGAGCCCTGTTGGTGCGCTCATGGAGCGCTCCTGGAGCGCTCTGGGGGACTCCTCCCGGGACTCTCTCAGGACCTTGCCGGGGTACTATTCGTCCGGGGACCCCCAGGGGCCGCCCCGCGCGCGCGAACTAGAGAATTCTTAACCAGTTACCGGAGATCTTAGCACGCCTCTGGCCCGTTGGGCCAGCGAATTTCTTATTAAAGCCAGGCTTCGGCAGTTGTCCCGTCGGCACCCCAAGCTTAACGAGGCGTTACGTGTGCTGCGGTTGAATGCTGGTGCTGCCGCTCCTCCCCCTGCTCCCCCTGCTCCTCCTGCCGTGCCCCCCCCCTCCTGAGTTGGCCGTGCCCCCTCTTTTTTGCCCCCCTTTTTCCCTGTGGCCCCCCAGGCGTAGGTCCATGCATGATGCTGTCAGAGTTAGATGTGACCCTGGTGGGTCTCTCGGGTTGGCTGACTGGTTTTCCGAGGTTTTTTCTTTCTGTTGTGCTTTCCCTCCGCTCAGTTACGTCTCTTGGTTAATTCAGGGCCCCGTGTAGTCGCCTGGGTTATGGGCACTGCTCTGTGCTCATTGTGACCCTCTCCGCTTGCAGGTGAAAAAGAAAAAAAACTCCTCCTCCCCCCCCCCCCTCCAAGTCGCCCATTCGCCTCCAGTCGGGGCCTGGGTGCCCGCCCGGGAAGGTGCGGTCTCGCCATGGGGGGCCCACCGCCGATCTGTCGGCGACGTACAAGCCGACTCTCAGTCACTGTCCACCCACCCACCCCCTTGGGTCAGTCCGCGCCTTCGACCCCCGGGCGCTGTAGGATACGAAGCGGCAGCTTGTGCGCGAATTTTCTGGAGCTCGCTCATAACGAGGTGGACCGCACGCTGCTCAGTCGGAGCTCACGTCCGCGGGATTCGTGGCTCATTCCAGCGCGGACTTCAGATAGGACGGCGCCGCGGCGTAATGTCGCCATCTTCGTCGCTCACCTGGATAACGAGACGTGCCAGAATAATTGGCATACGGCTACTACATAGGAATGTCGAGGAGCATGGTAGAACGCTCGGATGTGCGGATGTACCTTGCCGCTTGCAGGACCCCAGACCAGGAAAGTTAAGATTGGTGTGTCAATGTTTGGTCCATTGTCTGCATGCGTAGACATCCGCACGAACACGTGGATACACGACGATGACGCTTCCGGCGAGTCACGGCCGCCCTCTGCTTTTCGGAGACGCCCGTGTGGTTTGATGTCGGCCGAACGTCCAGCCATGCCAGAGGACTGCGTGCGTTCCCAGTCGCTTGGGAAACCGCTGGGGGAACACTGCCCTCTTGGGCCGCCCAGCGCCTTCGGAGGCCGTCCGGAGGGGACCTCTGGACCGCTCTCGGGCCGTCTTGGGGCCCTGCAGGTCCGTCTTGGGGCTGCCTGGGGAACCTCTCGGCTCGTCTCGGGGCCCTCTTGGGCCGTCGTGGGATGATCTGCGGGTCCACTTGGGCCGTCTTGGTCTTGGGTACTCTTCAGGGCGAAAGTCAAATAATCCGAACCTCAGACGAGTGTTCTCGCCTCTCGAGGCCGTCATGGGACCTCTCGGAGCCTTCTTCGGGGCCTCGTGGGCGCCTTGGGGCCATCTGGGGCCCTGTTGCAGCCATCTTGAGCATACATGGAGGCCACTTCAGTCATCTCGGGCCGACTTGATGGCGCCCTGGGCCATCTTGGAGGCTTTTGGAGGCTTTTGGAGGAGGAGGAGGAGGAGGTGGAGGAGGAGGCAGAGTTGGGAGGAGGAGTAGGAGGAGGAGAAGGAGGAGGAGGAGGCGGAGGGAGGAGGAGGGAGGAGAAGGAGGAGGAGGAGGAGGAGGAGGAGGAGGAGGAGAAGGAGGAGGAGGAGGAGGAGGAGGAGGAGGAGGAGGAGGAAGGGGCACTGCCACAGAGAGAAAGAGAGAGAGAGAGAGAGAGCGCCTGGCGAGGCCGAAGTCCTCGGCGGCGGCCGACAAGTGGCAGCACGCGGTTCGCGACGCTTGCGCGTCGCTTTCCCGCGAGGTCGACAGGACGGGCGCGCGGGGCGGGCGCTCGCGGGTCATTGCCACGCCGTGGCTCGAAGGAGAACAACTGCACAAACAAACTTTTTCGGTGGCCTCCTCCTCCTCCTCCTCCTGCTCTTGCTCCTCCTCCATACAGTCGGACCGAGGTGTAAGATCGAGGTCGGTTCGGGGAGGGTATCCTAATTTTCTTCGTGTTTGTTGGATGTTCTTGTGCATCCTGGGGGAGGGTACCCTCGAACGAGTTTAGTGTTTGGGGTGCTTTGGCCGGCGGAGGGTCCCATGCTCTTGAAGGATGTTATTCTGGCCTAGGTCCGACTGTAAGTCCGGCCGTGTGCAACTTTCTAACCGCAGCGTGGCGGCTTTTTTCTTCGGGTCAGGGTTCGCTGCACGAGCTTGCCTATGGCAGGTCGGTTCGCGTGACGTCTCCGGCTTGTCTAGTGAACCTTTGATTCGAATTGTGGTGGTAGCCGCGATGTGTGGATGTCATGAGGCCGTGTCTTCCCCTATTTCAGAAACATGTGCATATGTGTTCTGATAAACGCCTAGGTTTCTTGGGATCGGCGCTTCCAGCGCCGATTTAGGGTTGGTGTCCAGCGCTTGGTGCCTAGGCTTGGGGCTTTGGCTTAGAGTTAGGGTCAGGGTATCGGGTTAGTGTGTCAGGCTTTCGGATTTTCCAGTCCGGAAAAGTGCGCAGGGTTAGTGTAAGGGTGTCAGGGCCTAGGGTCAGGGTTTATGGTGAAGGTGTTTGCTGAGGTTTAGTGGGTCGAGGTTCGGGTGTTATGTCGGAGTGTGTCAGGCTTAGATCAAGTATATAGGCTTACACTAGGACGACGGTTTGGGATTGGGATGCTTGGGTTTCGGCTAGTGCTTAGGATTAGGGCGCAGGGTTAGGGTGTGAGAGTTTAGGAGTAGGGCTAATGCTGAGGGTTGGTATTTGAGGGCAGGGTGCAGGTGCTTCTCGCCATCTCCCCTCCTCGCCGGTCCCCCTCGCCCATTCCCCTTGCTCCTTTTCCTTCCTCATCGTCCTCATCCCTTGCCCCCCCCCCCACCCCCCACACAATTACACAGTATAAATGGTCCAGGGCTTGGGCCCCCCCCCCCCCCCAATGCTGATGCCATTGGCCCCCCCCCCCGCGCGATGGTCCCCCCCGCCCCCCCCTGTGGGCGTGGCGTGGTGCTGCGCTGCGGTGCCCCCCCCCCCCCCCTGTGGATGTGGTGTGGTGCTGTGGTGGTTCAGAGGTGGGCGTGGCGTGGTGCTGCGCTGCGGTGCCCCCCTCCCCCCCCCTGTGGATGTGGTGTGGTGCTGTGGTGGTTCAGAGGTCGTCGTCGTCGTCGTCGTCGTCCTCGTCGTCCTCGTCGTCGTCGTCGTCGTCGTCGTCGTCGTCGTCGTCGTCATCATCGTCTTCGTCGCCGTCATCGTCGTCGTCGTCGTCGCCGCCGCCAGCATCGTCGCCGCCGCAGCCGTCGTCGTCGTCGTCGTGGTGGTCGTCGTCGTCGTCGCCGTCGCCGTCGTCGTAGTCGTCGCCGTCGTCGTCGTCGTCGTCGTCGTCGCCGTCGTCGTCGTCGTCTCTGGGACCATACCATCTGGGGGGGGGGCCCGAGGAATCCTGGGACCATACCATCTGGGGGGGAGGGGGGGGGGCCCGTGGGCCCGGAGCCCGGGACCATAAATGCTGCTCTTCTCTCCCCCGTGCGGAAGATCTCTTGCTTCCTGTTCCGCGTAGTATGTTCCACCGACAGGATTTCAAACATGATTTTTCCCCATGCGTTTTTGCAATCCGATTGTTTCTGGTGTTTCGAAAAGGTGCTCCCGCTGAGCGTGGGCCTGATTTTCGGATCGGCGCTGTGCCCCCGTTGTTCAGAATGGAGCTCTCGCCCCAGTGCGGGCCACTTTTCTGGACCCGAGTCCTGCTTCGTCTTTGCCGCCCCCCCCTCCTTTCCGTTCCTCCGCCTTCACCTGGTCCTCCTGCTCCTCCCGCTCCTTCCACTTCAGTTCCTGCTGCTGCTGCTGCTGCTGCTGCTGCTGCTGCTGTTCGTCCTCGTTCTCCTCCTGCCTCATCCTCCTCATTTTCCTCTGGCTCGTCCTCCTGCTCACCCGCCACCTCCTCCTCCTCCTCCTCCTCCTCCTCCTCCTCCTCCTCCTCCTGTGTACGCAGCTCCCTTTCTCCGATTGCGCATAACACGATAAGGGGTCTTGTTCGGAGTTCCAGGCCGGCCATGGCTGACACGCGCCCGCAGATCGATAAACAAGCAGCGCAACGGGAAAGGATGGGAGGGGAGGGGATAGGATGCCCGACGTCGCGCGAGCGCACCCGGCTTGCCCCTCCGCCCCCTCTCCCCTCCTCGCCCTCGACCCCTCCCCTCCGCCCCCCTTTCCTGCCCGCCCACCCCTCCTCTCCCTATGGCTGGCCGCCCGCCCGCCCGCCGCCCCGCGCCCGGGGCAGGACGCGAGGACTGCCCGCCGCGCGGCCCCACGCCGCCTTCCGCCACCAGCCGCCCTCGCCGGCGCCGCCCGCCAGCGAGGAGGCCCCGCCCCCGAGGGCCGCCCCGCGAGGGCCGCGGCCAGACGTCGGAGCGGCCCCTCGCCGCAGAGGGGGGCCTCGGCGGGCGGTGGCGGCGGACAGCTGCTGGCCGTCGGCCCGTCCCTGCGATGTCCGTGCCTGGGGGGCCGTGGGCGGCGACGTGGCAGCCAGCTCTCCCTGCATCCGGGCCGCGTCACTGGGTCGCCTGTGGCCCCTCCTGCTGCTCCTCGCCCCTCCTCTTGCTCTGCCCCCCCCTCCTCCTCGTGTCTTTCCCGTCTGCCCCGTGCAGGGGCGAGCCCGGTCCGAAGAAGGCCCAGATCCGGTCCCAAGTGTGTTCCAAATCTGGTCCACATCAAGCCCACACCGGACAGCGCCAGGGGCCACGCAGGCTCCCATGGAGGAAAGGACATCATAAAACTTCTTGCCACCGTGCCTGTCTTGGGGCTCTCTCGGCCCGTGCCGGGGCGCTCTCGGCTCAGACAAGGTGGTGCGGGAGCGTGAGGCACCGCTGGGGGCACGTTGGGAGCCCCGGAACATTTGAGAAAATCTGGGATCCGGTTCCCCGGGCACCCCGTGCTGAGGGCTGCTGCGGGCAGGGCCACAGGCCTGATGGTGCTCTGACTCGTGCCTCGCCGCACGGTGGCGAGCACAGAGGTCGTGTCTTACCCTCCGGCGCGCAACGGTGGATACCTGGGCCAAGCCCCTCCCTCCCCCGGGTAGCCGTAACGATCGAACGCAGTCGGGGAGGGCCCAGACCCCTCCCCCAACACACATATTGGATTTCGCGCGCGTGCTACGGCGATCGCAGCGCACGCCATCCCGACGTTCCCCACCCCGCCCAAGCGTTACCGTTACCTGGGGCCCAAACCACGTCTCCCCCCCAAGGTTGCGACCGTTACCAGAAATAATAAAAACAGTCCAGCTGCCTGCGGCAAACCCCGCCACCGTGCCTTTGCAACCGCGCAGCAGGAAACATATGGAGTGTAGAAACACAAGTCCGACAAGTGGTCTGATAAGGACTGGTCGAAGCTTCGACCTCGTCTTCGTCCGCGTGGTAGGAGTGAGGTCGAGTTCACACCTCGCGGCAGTTCAGCGAGTGATCTGAACTGAGGGCGGTCGCGATCCCGACAATTTCGTCCTCGCGGTAGCGAGGAGGAGGAGGAGGAGGAGGGCGAGGAGGAGGAGGAGGAAGAATAGGAGGAGAAGGAGGAGAGGGAGAAAATGAGGACGAGGAGGAAAAAAATTCTCGGGGCCCTCTTTGGGCCTCCTGGGAAATTCCGGGGGGGCATCTGGGGGGCCTCTGGGGGGCCTCCTGGGGCCTCTGGGGGCATCTTGCGGCCTCTTGGGCCGTCTGAGGGAGGCGATTGGCCCGTCTGACGCATTCGGAGGCCGTCTTGGAGGCCTCTCTGGGGCGTCGTGGTGCCCTCTTGGAGCACTTAAGGGCCGTCTTAAGGGCCCTCTTGGGAAGCTCTTGGGCGATCTTGGGGCCCTCTTGGACAGACTTGGGGCCCGATTGGGAGCACCATGGGCTATCTTGAAAGCCCCTTGGGCCCTCTTGGGAGGTCGGAAGCCCAAATAGGCGAGAACCTCCACATCTGTCACACACGGCAAGACAATCTAGGGTTGTTGCCGCCTCGGGCTCTCGTGCAGGACCTCTTGGAGCCCTCTTGGGCCGTCGTGGGGGCTTCTTGGGCCGTCTTAAGGCTGTATCGCAGGCCGTCTTGAGCCGTCTTGGGCCGTCTTGAGCCGTCTCGTTGTCGCCTCGGCTGTCTAAGGAGGTGCTGTTGCGTGCTCCCCCTCTTGCGTGTCCCCCCCCCCTTCTGCCTTTCCGCGGTGCGTTGGGTGGGCCGTTCGCCTGGCGCTGGGCCGTCGGCGGGCCTCACTGCGACGGTGGTCTCCGCGGTTTTCTCGCTCGCGCGCCAGGGATGCACCGACCGCTTCCCCAGGGTACCCTGCCGCCCCGCCCGCCGCCCGTCCTCTCTCCTTCCTCCCTCCTCCCTCCCTCCTCCTCCGCAGCCCTGCTCCCTCCGCCCTTCGCCCTCCTCCCTCCTCCCTCCCTCTCTCCCTCCCTCGTTTTCGTCTGCAGCCTCTCTCCTTCCTCCCTCCGGGTTGGGCGTGCGCCCGCCTGGCGGCGCGCCCATAATTATGGCCATATGGCATACGGAGCCCGAATGCGTCCGCGGTGAAACACGATCGATATCCTCATCGTTCTCTTTTTCCTCCTCCCCTCCTCCTCCTCCTACTCCTCATCATCATCATCATCATCATCATCATCATCATCAACATCATCATCATCAGTGTCATCATCATCATCATCATCATCATCATCATCATCATCATCATCATCATCAGTGGCATCATCATCGTCACTGTCATCATCACTGTCATCATCATCAGCAGCATCAGCAGCATCAGCAGCAGCATCATCATCGTCACCGCCATCAGCATCAACAACAACAACATCAGCAGCAGCATCATCATTCTCATCATCATGATCATCGTAATCCTTCTCTTTCCTTCCCACTGCCAACTGTCGCCCCATCCTGCTCCTTGAGCAGGACTGTCGTATGTGCTGTGTTGTCGCATAGTTCGAGGTGTTCGAATTTTCCGATGTCGATCACGGCCGAGCGGGCACGATCAAGTAGCACTGGCGTCAGGCGGCGTCTATAGAACATTTCTCGAGGGTCACATGAAAAATATCGAGGAGCGTCGGTTGGAGTCGATTTGCCGGCACCGCCAGGTGTCCGCGCAGATATTCAATCTTTATGGTTGTTGCTCGTAGGCTGTTGTTACGATCCGATTGCTTTTCGGTCTTTCGAGATCTCGTTCCCGCTGCAGCGTTGGCTTAAAATTGTTGGGTCGGAACGCTGCTCCCGTCGATATCAAGGCGGCGCTTTTCACACCAACGCGGGCCACTTTTCTGGATCCGAGTCATTCCTCATCGGTGTCGCCCCCCCTCCTCTCCCCCTCCCCCGCTCTCACCTGGACTTCCTGCTCCTCTCGCTCCTTCTGCTCCAGCTCCCGCGGCTGCAGTTCCTCGGCGTCGTCCTGATCCTTCCTCATCCCCTCTGTTCGGGTCCTGGTCCGTCCCTCGCTTCTTTCGGCCCTTTTTCGGGCCCCTCGCTCGTCGTTTCGGCGCCACGGGCAGGAGTGTTCGGCAGACGATCACCCGCGCGCAAATCAAAAAAAATCGATGTTCCTCCTCTGCTCCTCATCCTGCCCATCGGCCACCTCCTCTCCCCCCTCCTACGCACGCGCAGGGGTCTCTGTTGGAGCTCCAGGTCCGCTGCGACGCGCGCCCACGGGCAGAGGCACCAATCAGCGCAATAGGCAGGAAGGGATGGGCGGGATGGTGATCGTTCTTTTATTATTTGTTTTTGCTTTCGGCGGAACCCCCCGCCCCCCCCCCCCCCCCCTCCCCGTAGAGAAGTTATGGGCTGATTTTGGCACCTGCTTCAGTCGATCGGACGAACTACGGGGGCCGGCGCCCCCCGCGCCGTCCTGCTCATTGAGCAGGACGGCGCGACAGCGCACCTGGCTCGCCACTCCCCCCCCCTTCTCCACCGGCCCTCGCACGCTGGACACGGGCGCCGCCTCCACAAGGTACTCCGTGACAGATCAGGTTTTTTTGTTGGGCGGGCCAGGGGATGTCGGTGTTCGGTACAGGGCCCTGGGGTCGTCATGAGCCACCGGCGTGATGGCATCGCATTGAACAAAGCACGCGCGCAACAGTGCCAGCGGAAGTCGGGAAGAACAACAAAGGATTTGTTGCTCTGCTCGGGTGGTTTCGCTGCGATCCAGACAGAGCCCACCCGAGAGTTGATGGACCGAGCATGGCCGCCAGGGCTGCCTGAGTGTGAACAGCACCTCCACCGCCCTCCTTGCGCCTCCCCCCCTTGCCTCCTGCCGCTCCCCCTCTCTCCCCCCCGCACCCCCCTCTCTGCCCAAGGGCGCCCTCGAGGGCGCGAAGTTATTCGCGCTTCGCGGTTCGGCTCCGACTCCTCATCTTCCTCTTCTCCCCTGGGAGGCGGCGCGAGAGCGCGAAGTTGTTCGCACTTCGCGCGTCGCGCAGCGCGAAGCGCCGAGTTGGGAGCCCTTGTCTGCCCCTCCTCCTCCTCCGCCCTCGCGCCCCCCCCCGCCCCCCCCTGCGGCGGCGCCCGCTGGCAGGCGCTGCTGCGGACGTCGGGCCGGAGCCCGCTGCCGCAGCCGAGTGCGCCGCACGCGCCGAGCGCGGAGTGGTGCCTCCCACCCCCCTCTCGGCTTGAGTCGGGCCTGTCCCTCTACAGGGGGAATCTTCAAGAATAGCCAGAATTATCCCGGCAAAGCAACCTAACAGCGATGTGTAGGAGCATATCTGGAAGCATTCCCCTTAAGATTCAGATGAGAATCCAGTCGTAGAGTTCTGCTGTTCTCGCAGTCGTAGTCGCATTCGCGATGACAGTCGCAGTGGCAACGGCAGTCGCAGTCACAGCCTCGGCCTCAGCCTGCCTCAGCCTCAGCCTCAGCCTGCCTCAGCCTCAGCCTGCCTCAGCCTCAGCCTCAGCCTGCTTCAGCCTCAGCCTCAGTCTGCCTTCAGCCTCGGCCTCAGCCTCAGCCTGCCTCAGCCTCAGCCTGCATCAGCCTCAGCCTCAGCCTCAGCCTGCCTCAGCATCAGCCTGCCTCAGCCTCAGCCTCAGCCTGCCTCAGCCTCAGCCTCAGCCTGCTTCAGCCTCAGCCTCAGTCTGCCTTCAGCCTCGGCCTCAGCCTCAGCCTGCCTCAGCTCTGCCTCAGCCTCAGCCTCAGCCTGCCCTGCCTCAGCCTCAGCCCTCAGCCTCAGCCTCAGCCTCAGCCTCAGCCTCAGCCTGCTCAGCCTCAGCCTCAGTCTGCCTTCAGCCTCGGCCTCAGCCTCAGCCTGCCTCAGCCTCAGCCTGCATCAGCCTCAGCCTCAGCCTCAGCCTGCCTCAGCATCAGCCTGCCTCAGCCTCAGCCTCAGCCTCAGCCTCATCAGCCTGCCTCAGCCTCAGCCTCAGCCTCAGCCTCAGCCTCAGCCAGCCTCAGCCTCAGCCTCAGCCTTCAGCCTCAGCCTCAGTCTGCCTTCAGCCTCGGCCTCAGCCTCAGCCTGCCTCAGCCTCAGCCTGCATCAGCCTCAGCCTCAGCCTCAGCCTGCCTCAGCATCAGCCTGCCTCAGCCTCAGCCTCAGCCTGCCTCAGCCTCAGCCTCAGCCTGCTTCAGCCTCAGCCTCAGTCTGCCTTCAGCCTCAGCCTCAGCCTCAGCCTCAGCCTCAGCCTGCCTCAGCCTCAGCCTCAGCATCAGCCTCAGCCTCAGCCTCAGCCTCAGCCTGCCTTCTCAGCCTTCAGCCTCAGCCTCCTGCCTCAGCCTCGGCCTCAGCCTCCTGCCTCAGCCTCAGCCTGCCTCAGCCTCAGCCTCAGCCTCAGCCTGCCTTCAGCCTCAGCCTGCTCAGCCTCAGCCTCAGCCTGCCTTCAGCCTCGGCCTCAGCCTCAGCCTGCCTCAGCCTCAGCCTGTATCAGCCTCAGCCTCAGCCTCAGCCTCAGCCTGCTTCAGCCTCAGCCTCAGTCTGTCTTCAGCCTCGGCCTCAGCCTCAGCCTGCCTCAGCCTCAGCCTGCATCAGCCTCGGCCTCAGCCTCAGCCTGCATCAGCCTCAGCCTGCCTCAGCCTCAGCCTCAGCCTGCCTCAGCCTCAGCCTGCTTCAGCCTCAGCCTCAGTCTGCCTTCAGCCTCGGCTTCAGCCTCAGCCTGCCTCAGCCTCAGCCTGCCTTCAGCCTCAGCATCAGCCTGCCTCAGCTTTAAAAATGTGGCCCGGGAATGGAGTTCTGGGACCTCGAAGTGGCTCCGGGCATTCAAAATCATGCCCAGGAATGGAGTTCTGGGAACTCGAAGACCACGAAGTGGCCTACAGTTGGCTCCGGGCATTCAAAATCATGCCCAGGAATGGAGTTCTGGGAACTCGAAGACCACGAAGTGGCCTACTCTGGGCATTCAAAATCATGCCCAGGAATGGAGTTCTGGGAACTCGAAGACCACGAAGTGCGTTACTGTTTGCTAAAAAAGGAATCCCGGCATCCTCCCCTGGATCGCGCCCAGACCCCCTTGGGGCGTCATGATGCTCTCTTTTGACCCTACTAGAAACATATCAGTCTTCGCAGTTAGGTAAAAATAGTCTGGGGACGATTTTTGGGGCATTCATTTTTTGACCATTTGGGGGTATTCTTGGGGTATGTCTAACTTCTCATCCAAAATCCCCCTGTAGGACGGGCACAGGCCCGAGTAGACCCCCGGCCCCCCTTCCCCTGGGGGTGGGAGGGCGGGCCCCTGGGCAGGGCTCATTTCGACTCCTCCGATTCGATTCGATTCGATTTCGATGGCTTCCGATTCCGATTCGATTCGACTTGGGATTCCGATTCGGATTCCGACTTCTTATGGGACGCATAGTAGCCTGCCGATTTCCGCCGATGCGATTTTTCCCGACTCGGCTGCCGATTTCCGCCGATCCGATTCATTTCGATCGCCGATCCGACTTATCGATTCGATTATGGGCTCTCCTGCCTGGGGGAGGGCGGGATTCGGGCAGGCCTGGGCTCCGGTCGTGGGGCGCGCCAGGTCGCCCGCGCGGATCCCTCGGATCGGCGCCGGGGCCCCCTGGCGGCGCCTCTGGCACCGCCCCTGGCGCGCTCCGCGCGCCGCGGGGAGGGGGGCCTCGCGCCGATCCGAGACAGCCGCGCCTGGCCTCAGAATTGTTATGTTTTTCGTCATGGTTTGTTGATACGCCGTCTCTCTTGTGTCAGTTTCCGAAGAGTTGCCAATTGCGCACTCGTCTGCCCATGCGTCCTGCTGAATGCTCGGCTCAGCCGCTAGGATTGGGATAAAGCCTGCCAGAGCGTTCCGGAACGCTCTCAGAGTGTTCTGGAGGGCTTTGGGACGGTTGCGGCGTCCGATGCGTCCTCCAGAGCCGTCAGATCGTAGAGATCCCCGGTTTGTCCCGATCCGATGTTGTCCCGATCCGAATTCGGTCCCGATGCTGGTTTCGTCTTAGATGGGGAGGTGAGTGGGGGGATGAGTCAGGGCCAACGTGAGAGAGGGGATAGGCTCATGGATGGATGCATGGACCCCTGATCGCCCATCGGTCTGCGCCGTCATGAGGCACGCCGCGATGGAGCACTCCACGATGAAGCACTCGACGAAGCGATCCCCGATGAAGCGCTCCTTGATGAAATGCCCCACGATGGTGCACACCCCGAAAAGCAACAACGATATGACACATAGCGCTGGTAGCTAATTTGAGAGCGCGAGACTGCGCACCAGGAAACCACGAGGTAAATCACACGACGCTGGTGGCACAGTGGCACCAGATGGATAGGCCAAGCCATTGGTTGCCTAGCGACGCCGCCGCCAGCGTACGAGGGACACCTGGAGCCCAGCCAGCAGTGGTCGTTTTCCACCCAGCAGCGTGACGCGCGATGTGTGCGCACTCCGTCGAAGGAAGGAAGAGACGAGAATAGACAAAGACAGTAATGGGAGTCCCACATCCGCCGTTGCAGCGACGCCGGTATCGAAGGTGGACAACGATGATCATCGGTGCCGTGCGGTAGGGTTCTAGGAGATGAAGAACGAGCACATTGTTGTTTTCTGACGGCGGGCCGAGGCGGCACGGTGCAGCCGCAACGATTGTCCGATGGTTCGACACACCCTGTTGTGTCTACACCCCGCCGCGCAGGTGTGACGGCCACCGGTGATTGGAGAGGCAGTACGGGCACGAGGACGGACGAGGCAAGGCGACTACAGACATGATGATGGTGGTGGTGATGATGATTGTGGTTAGGATGATGCTGATGATGATGATATGATGATGATTGAGATGCTGCTGCTGATAATGTTGTTGATGATGGTGATGGTGATGGTGGTGATGGCGATGCTGATGGGGATGGTGATGTCGATGATGATGGTGATGGTGACGGTGATGGCGGTGAGAATGATAATGATGATGGTGATGATGGTGATAACGATTGTGATTATGGCGATGATTGTGATGGTGATGAATAATGATGCTGCTTATGTCGGTGATGATGATGCTGCTGATGATGATGATGATGATGATGATGATGATGATGATGATGACGGTGATGATAACGACGATGGTGATGATGATGCTGATGCTGATGATGACGACACGGGAAATCATGGCGATCATGTATCGATAATGATGGTGGCCAGCGACGACGAATATGGTATCGATAGCCGTCGTGGCGGCGATGGCGATGGCGATGGCGATGGTGATGGTGATGATGATGTAATGATGATGGTGGTGATGGTGGCGATGATGATGTAAACTACTGCGCGTGCAAGACTGCATTCCACGAGGCTTGTCCGATTCCTGGGAGGTTCTTGGGGACGTTTGGGGGCTCTGTTCGGGCTCCCTGGGAGCTTCTTGGGGCGTGTCGGGGGCTTCTTGAGGCAACCTGGGGGCGTCCTGGGGCCGAAGATTGGAAATGTGGGTTCGGGTTCCTCCCGTGGGCCCCCTTTGGGCGCCGTCCGGGGGCCCTCTGTGGCCGTCATCTGGGCTTTTTTGGTGGTCTTGGGACCCTTGAGGGCCGTCTTGGACCTGTCCTGGGGGTCTTTTGGGCCGCCTTGCACGGTATGAAAGCGCAGTTCTGGGGCAATGTTCTTTTCTTTGGGTCGTTTTGGGAGGCCTCTTGGTGGCCTTTTGGGGCGTTTTGGAGGCATCATGGGCCGTCTGGATGCCATCTTGGGCGTCTTGGAATGATCATTCGACGATTCGGAGCCCTCTTGGATCGTCTTGGGGCCCACTTGGGACCCTCTTGGCTGATGATGATGCTGCTGATGATGATGACGATGATGACGATGATGACGATGATGATGGTGATGATGATGATGGTGATGATGATGGTGATGATGATGATGCTGATGACGATGACGATGACGATCACGATGATGATGATGATGATGATGATGATGATGATGATGATGATGATGATGATGATGATGATGATGATGATGATGATGATGATGATGATGATGATGATGATGATGATGATGATGATGATGATGATGATGATGATGATGATGATGATGATGATGATGATGATGATGATGATGATGATGATGATGATGATGATGATGATGATGATGATGATGATGATGATGATGATGATGATGATGATGATGATGATGATGATGAGATGATGAGGATGAGGATGAGGATGGATGAGGATGAGGATGAGATGAGGATGAGGATGAGGCATGAGGATGAGGATGAGGATGAGGATGAGGATGAGGATGATGATGATGAATGATGGATGATGATGATGATGATGATGGTGATGGTGGTGATGATGATGATGATGATGATGATGATGATGGATGATGATGATGATGATGATGATGATGATGATGATGATGATGATGATGGATGGTGGTGGTGGTGGTTGTGGTGGTGGTGGAGGTGGTGGTGTGGTGGTGATGATGATGATGATGATGATGATGATGATGATGATGATGATGATGACGATGATGCGATGATGACGATGATGATGATGATGATGATGATGATGATGATGATGATGATGATGATGATGATGATGATGATGCTGATGATGATGATGATGATGATGATGATGATGATGATGATGATGATGATGATGATGGTGGTGGTGGTGGGAGCGATGACGATATGAGTGGCTAGCACGAGGGTGAGAAAATGGAGGGTCGAACGGTAGCGTTGCAAACTGGACGCGCGGCACGAGGAGGAAGAGCAGCAGCAGCAGCAGCAGCCGGGCCGGCGAGGTGCCTCGGCTCCATGTCTGACGTGCCGGACACACCCCGGGTCCCGCCGCCGGCCGAGATGCGGAGGAGGGGCGGGGCGCTGGGGAGGTCTTCGCGGCGGCCGCTTCAGGATCGGAGGACGGGCGGGGCGGGGTTCGGCCCTTTAATCATCTAGGCCTCC